CCCACTGGCACTGCCATCTTTCCGGGTGACTTTCCATCCCTTGAACCAAGGCATATTAGCACTTGGCTCCAGCATGTTGTCACCATTCCAACCAGAAATTGGCACAAAGGCTACTGTGTCAGGGTTGTAGCCAGTTTTCTTGATGTCGGTTTTAACTTCCTTAACGATTTCCTCATATCTCTTCTGGCTGTAGGGTGGCTTGGTGGAATCCATTTTGTTAACACCAACAATCAGTTGCTTCACACCCAGTGTGTAAGCCAGAAGGGCATGCTCATGGGTCTGCCCATTCTTTGAAATACCAGCCTCAAATTCACCAACACCAGCAGCAACACTCAGGACAGCACAATCAGCCTGTGATGTTCCTGTAATCATGTTTTTTATAAAGTCTCTGTGTCCTGGGGCATCAATGATGGTCACATAGTACTTGCTGGTCTCAAATTTCCACAGGGAGATATCAATGGTGATGCCATGCTCACGTTCAGCTTTCAGTTTGTCCAAGACCCAGGCATATTTGAAGGAGCCCTTTCCCATCTCGAATTTCTCAATGGTTCTCTTGTCGATCCCACCACATTTGTAGATCAGATGGCCAGTCGTGGTGGACTTGCCTGAATCTATGTGTCCAATGACAACGATGTTGATATGGGTCTTCTCCTTTCCCATTTTGGCTTAGGTTTTGCGATGGTATACACCAACACCTAAGCTGTACTCTGGCGACAAACCCATTGCGATAAAAAAAGCGAAACCAGCTAATTTTTATGACCAAGACTATGCTTTAGAAATTGTCCAAGGTCACAGAGAACACTACTTAGGAAAACTTACCCAAGACTTGGACATACAGAACAATGAATAAGATATGATATGACTTATTAAATTTTACAGTGGTACATTTTCCTAATAAACATGACTAATAGTTACCTGATTTTCTTGAAGTTTTTAGTAGCCCGCAGTGGATTGTTACCTTGTTGGAACCACCTAACTCATAGCTAACCCTTCAGTGGGTTTTTAGCAGCTTAATCAGGCAGGAGGAGATTGCCCCTTTCTCCCACAGAGTAGCTGGTGGATTTAAATCACCTATTTTTAAGTAATCAAAAATAATTGGATGACACTGAAATATTTCAGGAAGTACTGTATGATCAGGAACCAGTAGTGATGAAGAAATTCAAGCTACACTGAAGACATGGGCAAAAAAATAGGGCCCCAGTAATCTATGGGACACCAGTTGAAATTTGACAAATTGAAATTTGACAAATTGAACTGATACAGCCCTGGATGTGTTTACCAAGACCAGAAGAGATCTATGTTTGTTCCCATTCCCAAGAAAGGTGATCCAACAGAATGTGGAATTTAACAATATCACATGCAAGCAAAATACTGCTGAGGATAATTTAAAAAATTGCTAGACCTGTACCTAGACCAAGAATTGTCAAATGTTCAAGCTGGATTTAAAAGAGGCCATGGCACCTGGAATACCATTGCTGATGTCAGATAGATCCTGGTTGTAAGCAAAGGATACCAGAAGAATGTCTGTATTTTATTGACTATGCAAAGACATTTGACTGTGTGTATTATAAAAAAATTATGGCTAACTTTGAGAAGAATGGGAATTCCAGAACAGTTAATTGTGCTAGTGCGAAGAAAACTATGCCTAGAGAGGCTGTTGTGAGAACCGGGCAAGGGAACACTGCCTTATTTAAAATTAAGAAAGGTGGGTGTCGGAGTTGTATTCTCTCTCCATATGTATTCAATCAGTATCCTGAGATTATTCAAGAAGCTTGACTCTAAGAAGAAAAGAATGTGGCATCAAGATTGGAGGAAGACTCAATAATCTGCATTATGCAGATGACACAACCTTGCTTGCTGAAAATGAGGACCTGAAGTACTTGCTGCAGAATATCAAAGACTGCAGCCTTCATATGGATTACATGTTAATGTAAAAAAACCAAAAATCCTAGCCACTGGACCAATGGGCAATATCACAAAAAAATGGAGAAAAATTAAAACTTCATTTTACTTGGATCTACAGTCAGTACACTTGATAGTAATAGTCAGGAAACATATGTTACTTTGGGAAAGTCTGTCATCAGGTACCTCTCCAAATTATTGAGGAGCAATGACGTCAGTTTGAGGATTAGGGTGAGCTTGATTCGAACCATGGTCTTTTCAGCTACTTGCTATGCATCTGAGAGCTTGACAGTGACTAAGAATGACAAGTTGAATTGATGTGTTTTAGCTGTGGTGTTGGAGAAGGGTGATAAAGATCTCATGGTCTTCCAAAAGAACAAATATGTCTTGGGGAAGGTGCAACCAGGATGTTCCTTTGAGGTAAAGATGATAAAGCTTTATCGCACATACTTTGGGCATATTGCTAGGAGAGCCTATTCATTGGAGAGAGACATCATGCTTGAAGAGTCAGTGAAAGGGGAAGACCCTCAATCAGGCAGTCACACAGTGATTGCAGCAGTGGGCTTGAGAGTGTGTGAGGAAATATGAAGATGACACAGGATAGGACAGGGTTCATATTTGTTGTTTAAAGGGTCGCTATGGGTTGTACTCAACAGGTCTGAACAACAGTCCTTGAGTTGGCAGCGTAGCTCTTTACCACCAGGTCCCCAGACACCTCCCACAATTGATTAGGACCTTAAAGAATCTAGTTTTAATGCAGTTAAATGTTAACTTGCAGAAAATTACTAAGATAGGATTTTCTGTTGAGGAGAGTTGGGGGCAGTAAGAGGATAGAGTGTAGTTTGCTTTACCAGATCATCCCAGCCATTCTATTTTATTATCCTATAACACATTAAGTGACTTTTAATCTAACTGAGCAATCATTTTTACTTTCTTTCTCCAACTACCTACACAAGTTCCTATTTTCCAAGTTCTCTTAAAGAATGTCCTTATTTTATGTAAGAATACATTGTGATGTTGGAGAAGAGTACTGAGTGTTCCTTTTAGTCAAGGATGGTGAAGCTTTGTCTCACGTACCTTGAGCATGTTGCTAGGAAATGCTAGTGCTTGGAGAAAGACATCATGCTTGGAAAGGTGGGAAGACAGCAAAAGAAAGGAAGAGCCTCAATCAGGTGGGCTCAAGTGCAGAAATGGGCTCAGCTGTTTCAGAGATTGTGAGGATGGCACAAGATAGGACAGGGTTCAGATCTGTTGTTCATAGGGTCTCTGTGAGTCATGCTTAACTCAATGGCCTCTAACAACAACAAGATCTCTTGTGTTTAAGTCCCTCCTGTAGACTCCCTGATTGACTTGATTTTTTTAAATTTTTTTTTTTATTAATGTGAGTGAACATTTGCAGAGATTTTGGATTTCCATTCATTCATTGTTGCACTTTTCTCCCCGCCCACCCCACCCCCACCCCCAGTTCACTCTTCTCCTTGAAAAGCAGAAGAAAAACTCCTTCATTGGTATACAATGCCCCTGCACCCCCTCTTCCCCCACTCCGAGTATACTCCACTCTGCAACCCTCATTACGAACTCTTATGATAATCATAATGCCCTAAAATATATTACTTCAAAACTGTTCTCTCCCTCATCGGCTTCAATGCAGTATACATAATATATCCAGTTTTTCTCAGTCTTACCCCTACCCTGATGTCAGCCTGATTGACTTAGTTTCAAAATCTGCTGACAAATCAAGATCAGAAATGAAAGTCCAAGAGAGAAAGGGAGACTGAAATTGGCATACTGCTTTCCAGGAACACATTTATTGTGAAAACTAAAATTACCCAGAGTAATGAAATTCTGCTTATAGGCTGCCAACTCTCTGACAATGAGGTAGAGAAATGCCATTGGATGAAAAAAATTTAGAAGGGAAATTAAATGTTGTTAAATGCACCATTTTAGCTTCTAGAAGAATCTTTACCATCTTCCTTTTTCCCTGGCCAAACCCTCCCTCCTCTCTAAAACAAAGTATTCTCCCAACCTGTCGTCAGTGAAGTCATATGGTTAGTAATGCCTACGAAAGTACATAAATCAAAAATTTAATAGCAACACACCACCTTAATTGTAGTATGTGGCTCACTTAAGTCATTCAGTCTGTTCTCCAAATATGATAGATGGATGGAATTTTTGTTGACTGAACATTTTATCCTAAAATGTCCTAATGAAGCTTTCTAACTAAACAGAAAATCAAATTAACTTCTTTTGTACCGCAGCAATTTTAATGTTTCACTTAAGGTAGAGAGTTCTTGTTCAACATGTGTTTGCTACTTTTACAAAGAATTTAGAGTCTCTTTGGGCCACCAGTCAGAGTCAGATTTTCCCTAGACATATCCCCCAGGGAGCAGTGGAATATGGCCCTTTAAATATTTCTAATGACTTCATCTTTGAACATACTAGCTCTCAAATGACTGGGGAAATGACTGCATCAAAGGTTACTCTATCTGATATCTTCTGTTACCTACAATGTTCGTTCTTCAAAGGTTAGCATATTCTTGATCCTGACAACATGAGACAGCTATATTTTCTGTCCACCAACAGAAAGGAACAGGTAATAACCCTGGAAGAATGTGTAATCTCAATTGTCAAGATGGGTGTTATTTTCATTCTTTTAAAAAAAAAAGGCAATTGAAGAGGATTCTGAAGCTCTGTCTTACATACTTTGGGCATATGGCCAGGAGAGACGGGTCCTTGGAGAAGGACATTATGCTTGGAAGGGTGGAGGGAAAGCACAGGACAGGAAAATGCTGAATGAGATGGATTGACTCAGTGACTGCGGTAAGGGGGCAGGTGTGTCAGAGGCAGTGAAACTGGCTCAGGATAGGACAGGATTCAGAGCAGTTGTGCATAGGATCACTATCAGTCACAGGTGACTCAGTGGCACATAACAACATGTGAAAAAAAACTGTAAGCTGCAGTATTATTAAAAAAAAGCCTTTCTGAACTAAAACTTTCCCAAATCATTGACCTGACAAGGAAAACCCTCTGCTGTTTGTCCAGAGTTACACAAATGGGAGTAACACCTATTATGATTCGGAGACAAGCATGGTAATCCATGCTTAGCTGCACTATAAAGACCAGCATGATTGATAAAATAGGTTAGAAAAAGGAGAGATAACCTCAATGAGATGAACTGACACAACCACAAAAATGAACCATGAGGATGGTTCCTGACTAGGCCATGTTTTATACAGTCTCTGTGAGTTTAAATAAACTTATTGTTACCTGATAACAAAAATCCAAGCTTCCTGATGGAGGAAACAGGTCTGAATGATCCATCTCCAGTTTTTCTTTTTTTGTTTTGTTTTGTTCTCTTTTTCTTCCTTTTTTTTTAAAATTTATATTTTAACAAAAGTTTATAGAAAATGGATTTCCAGTCATTCATTTTTGCACATATTCCTCCCTAACCCCCACACAGTTTGCTTTTCTCTTGAAAGATCCCCTTATTGTTGCACAATTTCCTCCCTCCCCTGATCTTCCACCCCAGTCCACTTTGTGATGCACCCCTTATTCTGGACAAATGTCATTCAAATAAGACCTAATCATATATTCCTTTTAAACAGTTATTTCCCTCATCTATTTCAATACAGTGTTCATTATTTAACCCCTCATCTTTTAGTTTATCCCTAACCCCCGTGTCAGTCCTGCTTTATAACGGTAGCATTATGCAGTATTTGTCCTTTTGTGATTGAGATATTTCATTCAGCATAATGTCC